GTCGGCGTTGAATTCCCGACCGTCCAAGTGGTTGGGCACCATTCCTCCCCCCGTCCCATCCCAAATTCTTATCTTGACCTCTTCCATTTGCTATACAGTCGTAATGCCTTGGCGCTTTCCCCTGTTAATTCCCTTCACTGCAGAACACTGAACTCATAAGACGCGACTCTTGGACTACTCAGAATTGTATTGAAGGTGAAAGAACAACAAATATATGTATATGCATTAAAAAATCGGATGTACCCTACATCAGTTCTCAAGACAATGTATACAATGTTCATTATATCACAACACTGTATATACATTACCTTGAGAGACGATGTAGGTTACATACGAAAATTTGGTTTTAATATACTTACACATATTTGGGTCTTGCCTTCAGTCAAGCACTACGGCATTGTCGTAAGAGTGTCTAGAACCTTATTGTTTCTTTACCAGACTACAACATGACTTCAGTGAAGGTAAATCATGTCTAACAAAACTATTACAGTAAATGACTAAATAAATGATAAAACGAGAGAGAGAGAGAGAGAGAGAGAGAGAGAGGGTGCTGGCGGCCGCCAATTCCTATATTTGAGGAGTGTTGGTGCAAGTCCCACACACAAGGCTCCTACACAAATTTGAGAAGAAAGCTAGTGTAGAATCACGTATGTGATTCATACGTCAGCGAGGTTCAACAACCTGGTTGACCAGACGACCAACCGGGAGTCCTAGTCAGAGACCGAACCGCGGAGTCATTGATCCCCGGAAGCTGCACAGGGTAGGTGGTGAGGGAATACCTCTCGGGCAGGAACAAAGGGTAACAGTGAGAGGCGAGGAATCAGAGTTGGTGAGTGTTCACAGCGCGGTTCCAAAGGGATCAGTATGGGACCCAATATGTACCTTATACAGACTAGTTAATGACCTGACACAAGAAATAGTCATTCATATCTCTGTAGATGATGTGAAGCTGACGAAGACAGAAGCGAAGATGACTGCGAGAGCAGGCAGGAAGAGTTGACGGTCCTTCAGTAGCGGCCAGAGAGATAGTTGCTAGACTTCAACCCGGGCAACTGCAAAGTAAAGAGGCTGGGTGGGTGGTAAATTTTCCAGGGAAATTACCAGCTAAAAGGGAGACAAGTTACGGAAACAAAGCGGGAGAAATACCTGAGATAATATAACCCCAAATGTGCCACCTGAGGAGCACATCAACAGTGAAACATCTAACACAAGGTGAAGCTGCCAATAATATACAAGTTTGTCTCAGTTGCGTAGAAATGAAGACCTTGAGAACATTATATACACGACTAAGTCGCTCAGACCTGGAGTTCTCGCCTTAACAAATACAAACTAAACCTGGAGAGCGTTGAGAAGTGTGCGCCAAGATTGGCTCCAGGGGCCAGATTCACGAAAGCACTTACGCAAGCACTTACGAACCTGTACATCTTTTCTCAATCTTTGGCGGCTTTGTTTTCAATTATTAAACAGTTAATGAGCTCCGAAGCACCAGGAGGCTGTTTATAACAATAACAACAGTTGATTGGGAAGTTTTCATGCTTGTAAACTGTTTAATAAATGTAACCAAAGCCGTCAAAGACTGAGGAAAGATGTACACGTTCGTAAGTGCTTGCGTAACTGCTTTCGTGAATCTGGCCCCAGGGCTGTCACAAACACGTTCTCGTCCTTTCCTTCTTTAGGAAAGAAGAAACAGGAGAGATACGATAAACAGGAATAATATATTGAAGAGAACTAACAGTGTGGACAATGAAGCAAAGTTCAAAATAAGGAACGGTGGGGCGGGGGTCCGCGGGAGGAGGCTGGAGGCGCTGGTGTGCCGGAGACGTCAGGAAACGTTTCTCAGGGTTAAGCGGTGCCAGCAAGCGGAGTGGACTACACGAACAGTGTCCAGACGAGGTCGATAAGAACTTCAGAAAGAAATACGACGAGAAGCATGAGGAATAACAGACACTTGCATTTATTGTCCAGGTGCGGGAAAATCGTGGCCGGGGAGCTAATGCTGGACCGTGAAAGTGGAAGGAGGTAAGTCAGTCGGATGAGAACACAGACACACGCAAGGTCTTAGAACACAGTCAGTTGTCTTCGCTATTGTTCTACTCTCCTTTGTTGCTATTCTCTGAACCTAAGAAAAACTGAAATGTTTTGCGTAAGTAATTTAAAGATGTGAAGCAGATCGTTTGACCTTTTAGTCCTTAAGGGTAGTTTTAGCGATATTCTTCAACTTTGTTTTGGTGTACGTGGCTATCATTAAGTCATTATAGAAGAGTTCACCGTCATCATTTTCACTTGTCACTTTCCTACAAAATGTTACTTTTCTAAATGTTGTGAAGGTCAAATTTATTCGCCACCTCTACGTACGTCTTGAGGCCATTTAAAGAAGGCGTCCTTGTCCACCTTGTCTATATTTTGTATGTTGTGATCATATCCTCTTAGTCTTTTCGTCTCCAGGGTAGTGAGATTTAATTCCCTTAACCTGTCCTCATAACTCCCTTAATTCTGGCATAATCTAAATGCAAACTTCTGCACTTTATACATTATTGTTTTGTGATCAGCAAGTTGCGGATTCCAGTCTGGTGCTGCACATTGCATTATTGGTTTAACATAGGCAGTGTAGATTGTCTTCAGTCTTTATATATGGTTTTTATAAGACAAATTTTCGCCAGAATTGCATATGCTGCCGATGTTACCCTGTCTGTGTGTGCCTCTGGTGGCAGTGATGGAGTTATATCCACTACCAAATTATTGATAGCAGGACATTTGTGGTCATTTTCCCCTAGATCAGTGAATAATGTTGCATGTTACTAAAAGAATAATTTGTTGTTAACCCTGGAAACACAAACCGTAACTGTCCTTATTTTCCGCTTGTTACAACGTGTAATATAGTTGATACATATTGGCTTCACTTGTTTATGACGTATTAGAACGTTGTTACAACTTGATATATTAGTTGTTATAACTTGTTAGGTGTTAACACTTGTTCGAGCGTTGTAGCAACGTCATAGTTTCGCTGCATGTTTGGCGGGAAGTTTGTTTTGAACGTTTGTATGTGTAGTTGGCGGACGGTGCCAGACATCGACGTGGGGGAGTTAATGTCGCCCCTGACACCATGTTCCTTTTTTAATTCTGGCGACTCCGACCAGCCTATGTTCATCCCGTACCCCAGACCAATCCCCCTGCAAATTTGGGTGAGTCTAACCCCTAGAAGCGTATGATCTTTAACTTTGAACATACAGACAGACATTGTGTATGATAGTGTAGATATATAACCTGCAAACTACAATAAACATGGACATTTTCGAAGTGGTCGTGAGTTAAAAGCTCCAATGATGCAAGTGAAATAAATTAAAAACAAAATTATTATATATAAATTATTATATATATTTTATTATATATATATATATATATATATAATATATATATATATAAATTATTATATATATATATAATATATATATATAAATTATATAAATAAATTAAAAACAAAATTATATATAAATTATTATATATATTTTATTATATATATATATATATATAATATATATATATATATATATATATATATATATATATATATATATATATATAAATAAATTAAAAACAAAATTATTATATATATAAAACAAAATTAAAATCTCTCTGGCATACTAAGCTCACTGGCTTGTATACGAAGGGAGGTCTCAGCCATAGCCGATATTCTCAGCACCATTTTAACATTTCACCTTTATACTATTGTGTCTCACATTGTCTTTGCATTTATCTTTGTTATTTAATTGTACTTTTCATTCTCCCGAGATTTGTCTTTATTTTCATTTATGTTTAAAGTAAATATATTAAAGTTTCATTGTTCATATTTTGTGTTTTACGTGTTCCTCCCTCTCACTTACCACAGACAACAGGCAAGCAGTCTATCTTTTTGTTTTATGTGTGACCAGGCATTGACACCTGCCATTGGAGGACTGCCGAACATCAATACTCCAACACTTTCCTGTCATAATATACACAGGTATATTCGCTATATGAGAGCAAGATGAACAATACCAAGAAAGAGTACCTGGAAGCCGTCGTATGTCCAGGAGGCGAACTTCATGACGCACTTCTGCTCGTCAAAGGGGAAGAACTCGACGTTGATGGAACATGATGACCTGAAGATGGCCGACGACAACCACGTGACGTTCCCGTCTGACGTCACGATGATGTTGGTGCTCAGGATGGCATTGTTGTACTGGCTGTCAGCACTGGGGAAGAGGAGAGCAATGTGAACAAAGGTGAGACTCCACATCTGTCAGCTCTGTAGTAGGGAAGAAATAGGTGTCAGTAAAGCTGCTCTGATTGAAGTCTACAAGAGGAAGGCTACTGACCACCGGGGCCCCTCTCGTCTGGTGGTCAGAGCGCCCAATGGTAAGTGGTGGTAAGCAGACAAGTCGCGTCTCATGATAATTATTCAGTAACGCACGGACCACTCTACATTGTTCCAGTGGTCGTGTTTACAGTGGTCTTAAGTGTTCGTGTTTACAGTGGTCTCTATTGTTCGTGTTTACAGTGGTCCCAAGTGAATAGGTATCCCCCCCCCCTCCGTTGTCCTATTTTCAATCGTCCCAAGTGGTCGTTTTTACAATAATTCCAGTGGTTGTGTTCAAATAATTCCCAGTGGTCGTTTTAACATAGACTTGCAAAGATTTTATCTACAACAGTCCTCTGAGGTCTTGTTTACATTGGTCCCTAGATTTTTGGCTTACACTGGCTCGCAGGTGTCGTGTTTACAGTGGTGTGAGAGAGAGAGAGGGAGAGAGAGAGAGAGAGAGAGACAGGCAGACAGACAGACAGAAAGAGAGAGAGAGAAGCACACACACAGACCACACCCCCGGACCTCCACACACAGAGTAAGAGACTCACTTGTTATAGAGGATAATATCGGGCTTCCAGAGCTTGTCAGCGGGGAGGCGGATGACCTGGATGCTGCCAAAGTCCGAGGCGTTCCACTGGAGGCTGTAGTCCAGCCACATCTGTCGGGGAGAGAGAGAACACCTGTCACTCTTGCTCAGTGATCGACCTTCCTTGTCCCTCGGTGCTCACTCCCAGGAAGCTTAGTGTTTATGTACTCACCTATTTGTGCTTGCGGGGGTTGAGCTCTGGCTCTTTGGTCCTGCCTCTCAAATGTCAATCAACTGGTGTACAGATTCCTGAGCCTATTGGGCTCTATCATATCTTCACTTGAAACTGTGTATGGAGTCAGTCTCCACCACGTCACTGCCTAATGCATTCCATTTGTCAACTACTCTGACACTAAAAAAATTCTTTCTAATACCTGTGTCCCCTAGTGCGTGTGCCCCCTTGTGTTAAATAGCCCGTCTTTATCTACCCTGTCAATTCCTCTGACAATCTTGTACGTGGTGATCATATCCTCCTAACTCTTCTGTCTTCTAGCGACGTGAGGTTTAATTCCTGTAGTCTTTCCTCGTAGCTCATACCTCTCAGCCCGGGTACTAGTCTGGTGGCAAACCTTTGAACTTTTTCCAGTTTGGTCTTATGCTTGACTAGATATGGACTCCATGCAGGGGCTGCACACTCCAGGATTGGTCTGACATAGGTAATATGTGGTGTTGTGGCGGTGGTGGTGAGTTCTGTAGTATTGGTGGTGTGTTCAATGGTCAGGGGGGGAAATCAGGGAAAAGCGCCAAGCCATTTCGACAATATAGCCACTGGTAAAGGGTCAGGATAAGGGTTTTGGAATGGGGCGGGGGGGGGGGGAATTTAAGGAATGGTTAGGTTATCTTGAGGTTATCTTGAGATGATTTCGGGGCTTTAGTGTCCCCGCGGTCCGGTCCTCGACCAGGCCTCCACCCCCAGGAAGCAGCCCGTGACAGCTGACTAACTCCCAGGTACCTATTTACTGCTAGGTAACAGGGGCATTCAGGGTGAAAGAAACTTTGCCCATTAGTTTCTGCCTCGTGCGGGAATCGAACCCGCGCCACAGAATTACGAGTCCTGCGCGCTATCCACCAGGCTACGAGGCCCCATATGGTGCGCCAAGAACAAATAAAACAATGCAATACAATATAACAGTCGATTCCGACTCTGTTATACTGTACTATATTGAGGCAGAGGGGCGCTCACCGCTCACTCATCGCATAGAATCAATTACAAATATATTTAGATCCTTCATTTTTGCTGAATACAACAGGTTTATCGAGCTCAGCGGCCCTGTGAATTACTGAATGGTGTTCGGCACCCCGTCACCCAGGTTGAGGACCACTGGGTCTGACCAGTAACTGGGAGGGTGATCGTGAGGTCAATCTCACCCTTAGCTAAGGGGTTCCTTGATATACTTAGAAATCTTACTGAGAATGGTATACCAGGAAGTTATTTTGAGTAAAATCAGGTTGAGTGGTCAGCAAAGATAATGTTTTATCTCCTTTTGTTTAGGAGAGGAGGTGTATATATATATATATATATATATATATATATATATATATATATATATATATATATATATATATATATATATCCTCGATACAATGACCTCGAGGATATACTATATTATATAATAATACAAGGTCACAAGGTCAACCGTCTGACCTTCTCCAGGATGTTACCCAAAAACTGTTACCTATCCCATCAGTTAGGCAACTGTTATTTACTGCTTTTTGTTATCTATGTTAGCTATTTACTGCTAGGTGAACGGTTGCATTAGGTGAAGGAAAACTAATTTATTACAATTTCTTCTGGATAAGGCAGATTTGTCACCTGCCAAAACCGTTGGCAGGTGACCAAAACCGCGATCAACGTCTCTCATATGAAGTCAACCCTGAACTCTGAAACCAGTAATCAAGTCACTGGTAGACTCAGCACTGAGCCACCGGTCCTGGACTCAGCACTGAGCCACCGGTCCTGGACTCAGCACTGAGCCACCGGTCCTGGACTCAGCACTGAGCCACCGGTCCTGGACTCAGCACTGAGCCACCGGTCCTGGACTCAGCACTGAGCCACCGGTCCTGGACTCAGCATTGAGCCACCGGTCCTGGACTCAGCACTGAGCCACCGGTCCTGGACTCAGCGCTGAGCCACCGGTCCTGGACTCAGCCCTGAGCTACCGGTCCTGGACTCAGCACTAAGCCACCGGTCCTGGACTCAGCACTGAGCCACCGGTCCTGGACTCGGCGCTGAGCCACCGGTCCTGGACTCGGCGCTGAGCCACCGGTCCTGGAGACCCGAAGCGCCTCTCGATTCAAGAACCAAAATCAGATTTCTTGTTTATTAGATCAGAATTTAAGTCTTCCATAAATTACTCGAGTTTGCTGGCTGAGTTGTGCTTCATACGAGGGAGACCGCTCCCAGCCCCACGGGGACGCCTAATGCGCTTAATGGGTCTCTGAAGAAGGGGGAGAGAGAGAGAGAGGGAGAGAGAGAGAGAGAGAGAGAGAGAGAGAGAGAGAGAGAGAGAGAGAGAGAGAGAGAGAGAGAGAGAGAGAGAGAGAGAGAGAGAGAGAGAGAGAGAGAGAGGTGGGAGGGAGATAGGGGAGGTAGGAAAGGAAGGAGAGAGACAGAGGGAATGAATGTGCAATTGAAAAGGAATGGAGACAAACAGAGAAAGTAGGAAGTAGGAAAGGAGTAGGGATTGATGGTAGGAAGGAGGAAATAGAGAATGGAGACAGAGAGAGAGAGAGTGAGAGTATGGGACTGAAGTGGATGCCTGTTCCATCAAAACATTATAGTGATAGGCAGATAAGAGCCCACATAATCCTAGTTCCCTTTTCTACACTATCTCATCACCCATCCCAGCTCACCCTACCCCAGCTCTCCCTACCCCAGCTCACCCTACCCCAGCTCTCCCTACCCCAGCTCTCCCTACCCCAGCTCACCCTACCCCAGCTCTCCCTACCCCAGCTCTCCCTACCCCAGCTCTCTACCCAAGCTCTCTCTACCCCACCTTTCTCTACCCCAGCTCTCTCTACCCCAGCTCTCCCTACCCCAGCTCTCCCTACCCCAGCTCTCTCTACCCAAGCTCTCTCTACCCCACCTTTCTCTACCCCAGCTCTCCCTACCCCAGCCCTCCCCATACCAGCTCCCTCTACCCCAGCTCTCCCTACCCCAGCTCTCCCTACCCCAGCTCTCCCTACCCCAGCTCTCTCTACCCCAGCTCTCACTACCCCAGCTCTCACTACCCCAGCTCTCTCTACCCCAGCTCTCCCTACCCCAGCTCTCTCTACCCCAGCTCTCTCTACCCCAGCTCTCTCTACCCCAGCTCTCCCTACCCCAGCTCTCTCTACCCCAGCTCTACCCCAGATCTCTCTACCCCAGCTCTCTCTACCCCAGCTCTCTCTACCCCAGCTCTCCCTACCCCAGCTCACCCTACCCCAGCCCTCCCCATACCAGCTCTCTCTACCCCAGCTCACCCTACCCCAGCTCTCCCCTACCCCAGCTCACCCTACCCCAGCTCACCCTACCCCAGCTCTCTACCCCTGCTCACCCTACCCCAGCTCTCTCTACCCCAGCTCTCACTACTCCAGCTCTCCCTACCCCAGCTCTCTCTACCCCAGCTCTCTTTACACCAGCTCACCCTACCCCAGCTCACCCTGCCCCAGCTCATCCTACCCCAGCTCACCCTACCCCAGCTCACCCTACCCCAGCTCTCCCTACCCCAGCTCTCTCTACCCCAGCTCTCACTACCCCAGCTCTCTCTACCCCAGCTCTCCCTACCCCGGACCAACCGGGCTGTGGTGGGTATGTGGGCCTGCGGGCCGCTCCAAGCAACAGCCTGGTGGACCAAACTCTCACAAGTCGAGCCTGGCCTCGGGCCGGGCTTGGGGAGTAGAAGAACTCCCAGAACCCCATCAACCAGGTATCAACCAGGTAACCCCAGCTCTCTCTACCCCAGCTCACCCTACCCCAGCTCTCCCTACCCCAGCTCTCCCTACCCCAGCTCTCCCTACCCCAGAGATGAAGGCAGGAGTGAAAGGGAAGGTACTACACAAGATAAGGGAGTACCTAAGCAACAGGACACGGCGAGTCACTGTGAGGGGTGAGGTCCAAGAGTGGCGAGACGTCACTAGTGGAGTCCCACAGGGTTCAGTCCTTGGACCTATCCTCTTTCTGATATATATAAATGAAAAAGGAATATTTATTCCCATAATTCTCAGAAGGAATAATTTATAATTGATTTATAATAATTTATTCAATTACGTGTTTATTCCCAAAAGGAATCAACCCGTTCGTCTCAATGTTTGATGATGATGCAAAAATTATGATGAGGATTAAGACGGAGGATTATAGCAAGAGGCTACAAGATGACCTAGACAAGCTGAAGTAACAGTCCAACAAATGGCTACTAAAGTTGAACCCAAGTAAATGTAAGGTAGTGAAACTAAATAGAGGGAAGAGGAGGCCATACACAAGGTACCGAATGAGAGACGATGTCCTCTACGAACAAGACAGAAAGAGACATCTAGAAATTGATATCAGACCAAACCTGTCTCCTGACAACCTGTCATCTTATATAGAACGTCGCATTTCGATCGTATGCGTTACACAAGGCCAAAAATTGTCGACCTAGAAAATGGAAGCGGCTGGCGAAAATGACGTACTGTCCCGTTTTCTGTTTTGGGTCCTCTGGTAGGTTAGTAAAAATTATTTTAAATTGTCCGTTTTCTTGACGTTGGGAAACCATAGGAGGACGGGCTGCTCCCGAAGCCCACATCATCAGCGGCGTATGCGAGGCTGGCTAACATCAGAACGGCCCTTAGAAACTTGTGTTAGGAATCATTCAGAACCTTGTATACCACATATGTAAAACCAATCCTGGAGTATGCAGCTCGAGCTTGGACCCCATACCTCGTCAGGCATAATATGATGTTGGAGAAGGTCCAGAGGTATACCACTAGACTTGTCCCAGAACTAAGAGGTATGAGTTACGAGGAAAGGCTGCGTTACGTCTCGTTGGAAGACAGAAAAGTTATGGAAGACATAATTTCCTCATAAAAAATCTCAGGGGGATTGACAGGACAGA